CCCTATAGCTCAAACTCTCCCAACCTTGGCAACATCCTTGTAAATCTTTTCTGCACCCTTTCACGTTTAACAACATCTTTTTTTATAGCAGGTAGACCAGAATGAATGTGGTATTCTAAAAGTGGCCTCACCAATGTCACTGACCTTATCTCCTCTGGAGATTTCCTCTCCACAGCTTTCTGCCTCAGTCCCCCAACACCATGCAGCAGACTTCTTCCCAAATATTTACAATGAATAGACTATCCTGGTAGAGTCCTCATCTCAGTCTGATACTGCCCCAAATGCATTTCTTCTTATCTTGGCTTTTTTTATAGCTTCATGTCAGTTCCACAATGTCCAGTTTCCTTGCCTCAGCTACCGCCTCTTCACCATGGATGTGTAACATATGTAAAACCCCTCTCTTGATAGTCTCAAGGCTTTCCATTTCTTCCTTGCCTGGTGTGATAGTACAATGGCTTTAAGAGATGCATTTTGTCCTTCTTTTTGTAAAGAAAGGTTGAAATAGAGGTACCAAGCTATCTGTTCCAAACCAATAGAGTAAACAGTTTATGAGGCCTTAAGTCTTTCCTTAAAGTTCAAACAATAGAAGCAGCCTGAATGGGTGGGGTCAAGCTCCCACAGAAACAGGATTTTTAGTTTTAGCTTTCAGCAAATTGCTATGGTCTTAAGGCTGGATGTGGAAACTTTTATTCCTGTCACTGTTACAGCTAAAAGCTGGGGTTCTCTTCCTGCTGCTAGAATTGCATGTGAGACCATCTGTTTTACTGAATTTGTCTTTGCCAAGGGTGTGTTTATAGAATGGTTATAATATTGGAATAGTTAATTAGTACTGGTTAACATATGTTATTTTGTTAAGCATTCCAATAGAGTTACAGTTAAGCCAGTTCTTTTCTTTTATTTTCATTCTGTCTGTATTTCAACTGTAATGTAAAAATAAAGTGTGTTTTGCTTTAAGTCAAGTAGTTTGACCAAATGAATTGCATCCGGAACACAACACCTTATACTTGCCTATAAAATAAGAAGTTGGGGTTGAAGCTATCGGCTTACTATATTTTGAGGGGGTTTGGCTGCTCTATAGAAAATTGGGGTCTCTTGTTAGAATCAAAATCTTTAATTCCATGTTGGGTGTAGGATTATTGGACTGAGAGGCAGCGAGTGGTGAGTATGGCATATTGCATTTTCTTTGTGTGTGTTGAAGTCAGTTGGTTTAAACAGGGTGTGCCTTGTGTAGTAATGGCTCTTTCAGTCACTAAGAGTTTCCTTTGCGGGAGGGTGGAATAGAAGACACCACTTCAGGAGTTTAATAGAAGGTGAGCAAGGCAAAGCTTTTGGAATTGGCAGACAAGTTGGGGTTGGGGTTCCCTTTGTCAGTATGAAAAGGGGAGGTAACTGCAGCAATAGCTCAACATTTATGTTTGCTGGAAATGCCATTGGAAGCTTTGAAAATGGCTAAAATTTGATTGCAAATGAAACAGTTTGAATTATGATTCAAAGCAGAAGAAAAGCAGAAAGAAAGAGAGAATTAATAGCTCTAGCAGAGGAAAGAGAAAAGAAAAGCCCTGGTGGAACAAAAAAAAGGAAAAAGGCAGCTCTGGCAGAAGAAAGAGAGAAAGAGAGTTTTTGAACTTTGGAGGTTGGATCGAAAACTCAGTCAACAGAGGTAGAGGTGAAAGGTAGTAGTAGTGAGGAGGATAGTGATGGAGAGCAATCTCATCACAGCCACATCTGTTTAAACATGTCCAGACATTGCCAAAGTTCAATAAGAAGGATGTAGAAGCTTTTCATTTCATTTGAGAAAGTCGCTAAACAAATAAAATAGTCAGCGACCATGTGGGTATTGTTGATCCAAAGTTGGTAGGTAGAACTATTGAGGTATTTGTATCACTATCAGACGAGTTATCTAGGGACTATGATGAGGTGAAAAAAAACATCTTAAGCACGTATGAGCTAGTAGCAGATGCCCAAAGACAACATTTTAGGAATCTAAGGAGGGACCCTGATCAAACATGCATAGAATTTGAAAGGATGAAACAAAATCATTTTGATAGCTGGGTAAGGACATTAAAAATTCACTTCCTTAAGTAGTGAGAACTTGTAGCCTTAACTCTCTGCTCTTCCACAAGATTAGCAGCTGAAATGACGATGAGGCAGTTCAAAAATCAACGTTTGGCTTCCAACATCAATTTCAATTGTGGGAGATGGAAATTCGGGAAAGAGAAATCCTCAGGTAGTAAGGGAAAAGGAGATTGCATTGAAGATAGTATAGATTGTTTACTTAAAAAGAGTAAACAGGAAACCCATGAGGGGAAAAGAGAAGTTTAAAAAAAACCTCAGGTGTTTTCACTGCAATAAAAGGAGGCCAGATGAATTTGCAGTGTTGGTGGTTTATAAAAAGCACCGGGAAGACCGATGTATGAAAACAGGATAAGCTGTTGAGTTTTGTTGAAGTGGTAAAAGGAAAGCACAGTGGAAGCTAAAAAGCTGCAAAAGAATGTAAAACCTGGTCAGGGGTTGATTGAGAAGCAAGTGCCAGATCTCTTCAAAAAGTTTACTTGTGTGGGATAAGTTTACTCAAGTATGTGAGGAGGAGCAGGTAAAGAAATAAAAATTTGAAAAGATGCAAGTCAATCCTTGATGTTGAGAGATGAGGAGATATGCAATTCAGAAGGAATATTGCCAGAAAAAAAAATGGTTGTATTTGGAATTCATGGTGAGAAGGATACTGTTCCATTGTATAAAGTGAGGTTGGAGTGTCCGGTGAAAAGTGGTGGTTAAGAATACTAGAGAAACTCAATTCTGGAAATACAGTTTATCCTTGGTAATGATATAACTGGTTCACAGGTAGGAGTGATGCATACTGTGGTTGAAAAGCTGGTGGAAATTAATCAGGCAATTGAGACATTACAGGAAGTATACGCTGGGATTTTTCCTGACTGTGGTAAGACGGTCACCAAAACCACAGATTGAAGCAGGAGAAATCAAGGAGTAAAGATAAGGATGTTGAAGTTTAATTATAAGAGGCCATGCTTGATCAAATGTTGAGAAAAAAAATACAAGAACAGGTGGAGGACAAAGTGGATATTTTTGGATCAGAGAAATTAGCTGAATTACAACAGAAAGACAAAAAACTGAGGCAGTTGTATCAAAAACCATACTCAGGAAAAAGAAGTGAGTGTATCCAGAATGTTACTATATTAAAAATGAAATCTTGATGAGGAAATGGATACTATCACATATTCAGACAGTTGAGAAATGGGCAGAAATTCATAAGGTTGCATTACCGGTGGGTTATAGAAGGAGATATTGCATGCAGCACATGATTTACCAGTAGGAGGTCATTTAAGAGCAAGGAAAACAAGCCAAAATACAACATTTTTATTGGAATAGCAAAAACTGCAGATGCTGGAGTCAGAGATAACAAAGTGTGGCGCTGGAGGAACCCAGCAGGCCAGGCAGCATCAGAGGAGCAGGAAAGTTGATGTTTCAGGTTGGGACCCTTCCCTTATCCCAAACATCAACTTTCCTGTTCCTCTGATGCTGCCTGGCCTTCTGTGTTCCTCCAGTTCAACATTTTTATTGGTCTGGACTGCACAAGGATGTGGTTGAATTTTGGCAGACATCTCATACATGTTAGGTAATTGGAAAACCTCAGGCAGTGATAACACCAGCACCCTTAATACCCATCACTCATATCAATAGCCACTTTGAATAGCTTTGTATAATCAGGTGTGGCTAACACTGGAGCAGTGGTTAACACCGTTTTAGACTGTCAAATGCTTTCTGACATTCCTCTGTCCACTGAAATTTTCTGCACTTCAAGAAGCCAGTCAGTGGAAAAACCACACTTGTCCATCTTTTTCCTCCCCTTCCATAACTACTTTGTTACCATTCTGGTGATATGGATGTTTGGGGATAGCCTTACAAATCCACCAGCTCCCACAGTTACTTTAACTAGGCTTCCTCACACTCACTTCCTGTAAGAACTCCAATCCATTCTCCCAGTACCTGTGTCTCCATCACCTCTATTCCAATAGTGCCGTCTTCCCCTTGGAAGGTATGCGCCTTTATCCTCAACTGTAGTCGCTCTTTCTCCTCCACTATAGCACTTGCCTAGGCAATCACAGATGGTGTAACAGTTGCCAAGTTACCTCTTCCTTCCTCACCTTCCAAGGCCACAACATACTTTCAGGGTGAACCAGCAATTACACATTCATCTTTCACTCTAATCATTGTATTTGCTGCTCACAGTGCAGTCTACCCTACATTTGCAGGGTGACTTGCAGAATACTTCCACTCTGTCCTAAGAATGAGCCCAGTTATTTGCCATTTCAATGCACCATCTTACTGGGTTAGCATTTCTGTCCGAGGCATAGGGCAGCTTTTCAGTACATTCTAACACAAGCTGGAGGAACACCACTTTATTTTCAACTTGGTGATGAGCCTTGAAGGCTGCGAAGTACCTGAATTCAATAACTTCAGAGCATGCACACTCCTTCCACCAAACAATGTCTTATTTGCATGGATTTGCTCTTAGCAAAGCCAACCTATTTTTTGACTACTGAGACCTGTCATTAACACCTATTATGCACCTACATTTCTCCTTTACTACCATTAGCTCTTTGCCTTTTGCTCTGGGCACCCTCACTCATCTGTTCCATTGACTCCTCCCTCCACTTTGCCAACAGCATAAAAACCATCATATTCCAGCCCCCTTTGATTCTGAAAAGGATCTCTCTCCTCAGATTCTGCCAGACCTTGTTTCTCCAGCAGTGTGTTTATTTACAACTGTAACTCCATTTATTTTAAAGTACCTGAGAAAGCTTGCATTTAGTCATAGGCTAGATTTTGATGTAGTTCCTTTGACAGTAATATGCACCCATGCCAATGTATTGATTCTTAAAACAGTCTCTTATTTGACCATTGGCATTATGGGTTGATACACAAACAAGCTGGATGTGTCTCATTGTACACTATTTAGACACTTACATACAACACAATCCTGTCAGTGATTTACTAGGTGGATACTTTATTACATAAAAAATACAGAATTAATCATTTATTTTAGCTTTCATTACAAACACAGCCTTTATTAAAAAGATGTTGATTCATGAGATCAAAACAAAAAAAAATTGCCAGGAGAAAAAAAAAATCCTAGTGTTAAGGGGCTTAGCTTTCAATAAAACAGGTGTATGTCAATTGGGGAAGAGTTTGCAATATTTTCTAAATGTCTTTAAAAAGACCAAATACTAAGTAATACTGCAGATTGCATCCAAAAGAAGAAATCCCCAGAGTTTTGAATAGGAGCTTAGATTTCTTTAGCATACAAGTAGTAGGATCCTGGATAACCGTACATTTACTAAGGACAGTTGCACTGGTGGTCTATAGATTAGATCATTATTTCAGCTGGTCTTTATACTGGAATCTTTGGTACAATAGAAATAAAACAAATGCCTGCCATTTTCAGAAATATGATTTAATTTCAAATCATAAGCCCACTGTTAAACTATTTACAGATATGGGTACAAATCAAAATGTGTGGCAAACATATGAACAATAACTAGTTATCACTAAATGGCAGAAATTATTTTGACTTGAGTAATGGCCAGATGTTAAAACTCAGTGCATGGCGTTGTGTTCCTTGTTTAAAAGCTTCACAAACCAACATGACTTACATATGCACAAATCTATTTAGAAAAACAGTGTCTCACCTTCTCTAATCTCAAAAATTTTGATCCCCATCTGTGGCTGATAATTTAGGCAGGAAAAGGACAACATCCTATATGTCAATGTATTAGATAAACTATACTTATTATACATTAGCTATCAAATGAATGAATACTTTAAAATGCAAATTTCTACTGGGCGCTTGAGTCGTAATTTGTTTAACTGTGTACAATACTATGAGAGTAAAAGCATTAACAATGAGTTGGCATGCAATAAATACATATTGGTTATAAAAACAATACCTTAAGATACAATAATAGAGAAAATGCTAACTTCACAACCAGTGGGCATATTATCTTTCTTTGGTTACAAGTGAAACTTCCAAATTCTGTTTGGAGCTGTTTAATTTTCAAAAAAAAAATTAAAAAAAAATAAAACAAACAATTGGCAAGTTAACACTTGTACTTTTATTTCATTGCTTGTGGAATGGAATCCACTTGTAGGACTGGAATTAAGGTTTGATTCTCATTTGTGAAAGCCTGTGATGCCCTTCCCCAAACTTATGTAACTGTACAACAGTAAACAATTTATCAATTTCCTTGTATCCATAGACCACTGAAAAATATGTATCCCCCCCAACATTTCGTAATGAAAGAAAGTTGCTCGCTGTAGTATCAATAAAGCTACACTTGCAAAACAATATAAAAAACATATTTTGCTAGGCACTAGATTTAAGAAAAAGAGGAAAAACCTTAAACATTAACATTTAAAACATTAACAAGCCATTTGACAGTACCATCCTGCTGCCCCTAGCCTATGTTCCAACCTCATTTTACAGCATTGCAATGGTAGTCACAGTTCTTAATGCTGAACCTGTAGTGGCATTTCCTACGTGTGAGCTATTAGGATTTATTTTTAAAAATTTAACATTTGTTATCTGGAAGTAAAATTCACTTCTGGGCTAGAAATCTTTTTCAGAGATGAAAGATGAAACACTCCTTTGTCAGGAGGTTGACTGCTAAGTTTCAGTGCAATTGTTATTTTCAATTATGTTGATGCTTGCTCTCCAATTTACAATTAGGTACAGGGATAAGAGGTCAACATCTTGTGACTACTCAAATGGTGAAACTAGTTCTATCATTTACATTTAAGAACCTTTGTAATCTAATGTTCTTCTGATAGTCAGGGTACAAAAGCAAATAACACTAACTTGAATTCAGCATTTGAGAGTTTCTCAAGTATTTCTCAACAGCAGTATTTTCTGTTTCCCAGAAACGTGAAGACAGAGTTTTCTCATGTCAAGAGTATATCATTTAGTTTCTGGAAATCTCTTTTAGCTTTAGTTTTAATGTAGGGAAAAATCATGATGGCAGAGCCTAGTTCTGTTTAAGTACTCATTTGCATTGACGGGCTTGAAGTAGTTATTTTAAATCAATGTGCTCCAATACATTGAGACACACCTTCAGGTAGGTAGGACTTGAACCTGGATCTTCTGGCATAGAGGCAGGGACACTACCGCTGTGCCATAGGAGTCCATGGCTTTTGCAGTAGTCTGGTTACTGAAGTGTAGAATGCAAAAGATTATTTCAGTGGCAGAAAATTTGTAACAATATCATGTGATGCTGGAGACATTTTTCAGTAGGTTAATACATTAAAATTAAAATTTTAAAAGTTTCATCTCAAGCTCAAAAAGAGCAAGAACAAAATAGACTCTCCGATTATCAATCGCATCTGCACATCAGGAACATAAAGCTTTTCTTAATTAGTCTGGTGCCATGAATCTCAGAAGGGCTGGGTTAAAAAAAAATTCCAATTATGGTTGCTTTACGGGCAGCAAAAAAAAAAAAATGGCACCTATTTGTATCAAAGCCAAAAAAAGTTTGATCTGAAAACAACTTTTATTAATTGCTCTGTTTTAGAATGTAGTACTCCGAATAGCAAATGTCTGTTTGCAGCATTTACACTTCAGCAGATGGTTTGTATTATGCTAATGAATAAGGACTACAAACAGACCCAGACATCAATTTTATTTGGTCTTCAACATTGCAGACTGCTAAGCATTTGTTTTAGATTTTAAATATTTAAAGAGCAAAAAGGCAAATTCAATTGTTCTTGGGGGCTAATGGTTTCACTTTTGATTGTAAGAAAATCATTAACTAGTTAAAATCTGAATGATTTGCAGCTAATCCAAAAATTAGATCATATTTGAATCTTATTATACTTATTGTACTTTTTTTTAATTCAATACCCAATGTCACTAATCATCGTGGGCACATATTATTAGATCCTGTTCAATGATATGGTAAATATGCTGCTCCTGACAAATGTAGATTTGGCACTGTACTATTTATGAGCTTCCAAGAATGAACAAACAAAATTTTAAAAAGTGGTACCTTCTTTAAAAATTGTACTTTTCAAAATTATTCTTTGTTTAGTTTGTTTTTAAAAAACCAAATCCACACAATTCACTAACTGTACAAAATTTAATCAGATGTTTCTTGCGAATTTTTTTTTTTTTTTTTTTTTTTTTTTAACAAAACTGCTACATTTTTACACATTTAATGCAACATTAGAGAAAATGTACTGTCCCAGTGAATACCATATGGTACAGTTCTCAGGTTTATAAACATGCAATTATGTACCTCTCTGAAAAGGACTGTATTTAAGTCTTGGTGACATTTTTCAGGATAATTTAACCCAAGTGATTTTAATGACATGTAGCTTTAAAGAATTTATGAAAAATGTCACGTTTGAGAACTAAATGTGATCATAGATTAAAAATAGGCTGAATTTGGGAAAGGCTTAATTCAAGACAGAGTTTTTAAAAAATCACCAGTTTAAAAAGCAGCATAGTTTGTGGAGACTGAAGTGCTTAAACCAGCTGCTCTGTGAACATGAACAGACAAGATGAACGAACATAGGTTAATAATACAAAAAGTACTCATCACTGACAAAAATAATCTTGCAGCTGTACCTTGTTGACAAATGTGGATTTTGATTTTTGGAAATACTGAAGCAAACAGGTTTTGAGAATTTGCAATTTAATAAAGGCTTCAAAACAGTGTGGAATTAACTATTATTTCTGTTTTCCTTAATCTGACAGTCACTGTACAGATGGGTTTTGTTTGCAAGGGATTGATGCTATCATCCAGAAACCATTGCTTTTTTTCTGTAGTGATGCATACAGGAGGATTTAGACCAAGGTAAACCTCTTATTTACGTTTCCGTAAAACAATATACATCACACCGCTGATCAGAGTGAATGCAAAAGCAATCCAAGCTAGAATGTAAGAGTATCCGTAATTTCCTGTAACTATGGGCAAATGACCATGGAAGTTTTCTTGCTGGTTTGTATAAATTGAGGCTGCAATCATTACGCAGAGACCTGCAAAAACAAAAATTTTAAAATAGTTTACACAATTCATTCTGTGCTACAGAATTCTACCCTTTCAAAAGAACCTAAGTAACTTGTATCATATATATATATTTTTCATTCATTCATTCATTAGAACTTGGGTGTCATCCCTCATTACCTATTGCTGCTGGTGTGGAGTCGCATGTGGCCAGCAGTTTCCTTCCCTAAAAGGACATTAGCAAAACATACGATTTTTCCCAACAATCAACAGTGGTTTCAGGTCATCATTAGACTCTTAATTCCAGCTCCATTGTCTGCCATACTGGGATAGAAACTCAGCTCCCCAGAACGTTACATGGGTCTCTGGATTAATAGTCTAGAGATAACACCATGAGACCATTCCTTCCCCTTTGCTTAATCTCAAGGGTTTCAGTTGATACCCAACAGATGTTTACATACTCCAATGTGAAGTTCAACATTATTATTTCTAAACTTTTCATATCAGCAAGTGATCTTACAGTGCACTTTTATTGCTGTTATATTGTCTCCGCAGGATGATATCCCTAAGCCAAATTGACAAATATCAGGTGCACTACATCATAACATTAACCAAAAAACAATTTACAAGGAAACTAGGCAAAGGAGCAAGGTGGTGCTGCAAGTGGTAGATGCAGGTACAATTACAACATTTAAAAAGACATTTGGATAGGTACATGGACAGGAAAGGTGTAGAGGGATATGGGCCCAGTGTAGGCAAGTGGGACTAGTTTAGTTTGGGAAACCTGGTCAGCATGGACAAGTTGGACCAAACTGGTCTGTTTCTGTGCTGTATGACTCTGACTATTAGTCAGAAATTTTACGTAGGCATTTAAAAAGTACACAGAAAGAGACCGAGCGAGAACGAACGCCAGACAGACAGGGCAGGTTTAAAAAGGAGGGAGTGACAGATAATGGTGCTAAGATAACTGAAGGCACTGCCACCAAGAGTGGCTCTACAAAAAACAGAAGGCCTAGTTCGGAAGATAAAGGCTGTGGCCGGAAACTCAAAAGTGGAAGTTATAATTATAAAATTAAGGAATTTGAAGAGGATGATGTGGATTTTAAAATTAACGTTTCAATAGGCAGCAGTGTGTATAAGTCAGTGATGAATGCAGTGGTTGAGTTTTGAACAAATGTTTTGAAAAGGAGGATGTTGCAGAAATCCAGTGGCAAGAAAAGAGTGGTCTATAAATGTTAGCAGGGGAGGCAAAGAATGTTAACACATAGAAGAAAGCAGTCGGTACTGGGTTGCACGTGACATCGGGCTCAAGTGAGAGTCAAGGTTTGCACAGCCTGGCTACAAAAAGAACAGGGTTTTCGTGTGGGCTAAAACTAATATCTTAAAATCTTACTGATACTCAACTGGAGGAAATAATGTGCCATCAGATTGACTGACAGGCAGGCAGCAACTGGAGGGGGGAAGATCAGGAAAATCAGAAAAAAAAACAAACAGTAAGGGCTACTTTTTCAGCATGCATCCGAAAGCTGACACAAGTTTGTAAGTGATGTAACTAGTGAGCTACATACCCTTGCAGCGTTAGAAGTGAATTTGTAAGATAACAAGATCAAGGACTAACATCAAGACTGCAGTCAGACAGACAGGAGTGGAACCATACTAGGCTGAGCAACGTTTGAAAACAGCAAAAGATGGCATTTTCCACCATGCCAGAGAAGTCAAGAACAAGATACATGATCAGAGGTATTTATGGAATGTTTGCACCTTGAATCAGGGTGAAAGCTGGACCAGACGAAGTCAAAGATTTTCTTTAATATAAAAGTACTTCATGGGAGTATAAAAGCTAACAGACTTACTAGAAAGCAGTTGCAAGGTTCCAGCAATGTAAAACCTCTGACCCTTCTGTAGTCGGAACAGTTGAACGACAAATACAATGAAGGAAATACAGCAAAAGATCACCGACAGACACATTGTTGCCTGTATTGCCTTGATGCAGTCTGCAGAATAAAACAAAAGATAGAGATCAACTTTTGCCAAATTACAGGACTGCAAAAACAAATTTAATGTTGGTTTCTTAAAATGCTCTGTGCTATTACATTATTTATGCATCTTTTTGGCAGTTTTAAAAGTATGTTTCAGAGCAGTTGTTAACTTGCTGATTAAACAATGAGAACAAAAACCCATATAACACCAAAACTTCTGCACAATTAACAAAACAAATGCAATAGTAATTGCAACTAAAAGTGAATGTTTTCATTATATTTTTCTTTCATCCTCAGCCTCATCCGAGAATCCAAGCTGTGCATTGTCCTGGGGTTGGAATGTTGAAAGTCATCAAGGAAGGCATAGAACTAGTCAAATCTGGATTAAACAAGGGAGTAAATGAGGGTTTCAGTAGCACTCGAGCTGAGGTAGGGGCAGGAGGAATTGGAGGTAGTTAGGGATTCATCTCAGGCTCAAATACAATACCAAGTGTCTGCTTCAGCCACACTCAAATGTAATTTAAGTTTATGCAGCAAACCTTTTATTAACTGACACCAACAGGACCAGGAGTATGCAGATTAATCAAATATTCCAGATTTAAGGATGGACGCAAAACCGTAGTAAACCCTGACTAAGCAAAGCTTCAAGACATCAACATCCCTCAAACAAAAATGTAAAAACATCAACACCTCCCGAAATCCATGTAAAAACACACACACAAAGTAACAGAAACTTAATGCAGGGGGTATACACATTACTGTTACACTTTATTTACAGCATAAATACATTGTGGTAGATCACTGTATTTGAGGTATATAATTTTTGCTGGTGTATCCAAGAATGCCGGTTTAGAGGCCAGTTAAAACAAAGTTTTGCTGTATCATTATTAATACATTATTACTACTTTGAGTACTTTGATTCCAAAGTAGAGTTCAATGGGTTTTTGGTTTCAGTTTTGAGAGGTCCAATCTCTCTTTCTCACGGGAGGGGTCAGAAAATCATTCGATGTAAAAACAACAATTTTCATTTAAAAAAAAACCATGTGGCTTAAACTAAATGACTCAACAAGCCTACCTGGTGAAATAATTGCTGCTTATTGCTAACTTGTGTTTTTACAAATGGAAAAAGGGAGGCCAGGGGCCACAAGGAGGTTGAGGTCAGAAGAAATTATCCTCAACTACAGAAGGAGAGTTTAGTCTTTGACAGGCCCCAGGCCAGCAGATCTGGAAAGATGCCTTAAACTGTTTTAGCGGAAAAGAGAAAAGGGCTAGAAAAATAAACCTTTAGCAATTCTTCAACAAGGAGAATTCAGGAAGTTAGCCTGTCTCCTGGAGAGGTGGGATGAATCACATCCAGTGACTATGTTGAAAATCACTGAAAAGTGAAGTTACTGTGATGCTTCACTGGGGTTGAGTGTCTGTAGGTGATATTGCTGGGGAAAAAAGGACTGAATTTTTCATATTGCTGTTTATGATAATTGGAACAGAGTCGAACCCAAAGCGTCCAAAGCTAAGATTTTTTTTTTTTTTTTATTAAAAATCATGGTCACAGCAGCAGAGCTTGATCACATCTGTTTAAAGGAGCTAGAAATATGCAGAATCCATAGTTTTATTTGTGTCTTAGGCTTGTATCAATTTTGAACATGGAACCACAATGCAACAAATCCCAGTAAAGCATACCCCAGATTTACAGGAGGAAGGGGAGGGTAGGGAATTGGGAGGGAAAAAAAAAAACCCAACAAACCCATAGATTCACATTTAATTAATTCAAAGACAACCAATTCATGCAAATATTTACCTCCATAGTTCTCAACATAGACGTTATCACATTGAGATCCATTGTTAGGGCAAGTCATCCATATATCAGTGCTGACCATATCATTTTTCCACCAGGCCTGAAAATAAAAATATATTTTGGACAATTAGACAAGATATAGGTTGGGTGCATTTTCTCTTTCAAATACTGCCTGCATTTTGAAGCTGAAACACCAAAAAAAGTTCTGTTGAAAATGCATGTTAGTTACTCATTACAAAAAAAAAGGATATTTTTTCCAGAAATACCTCTGCAAGTTTTTATTTTAACATCATTCTAGAATCATAGAATGATTCTGACACAAGCCAAAGGCCATTTAGCCCAGTATGCCCTTGCTGATTCTTTAACTTTACCAAAGTTATTCAACTAAACCCTGTAGTTTTTTTTTTAAAAATTCCTTCAAGTAGTTATTCAATTCTCTGAATAGTACTCGTGTACTTTCAGCAACCTGTCAGACAGTACATTCTAAATCACAACAAAGAATTTTTTTTTCTCACCATTGGTAAATGAACCAATCACTTTAAACCCACTTCTTTTGATTACTAAACACCCATCCCATCCCTTTTTTTTTAGAAAGAAGAAATTGGAAAGAGATTGATGGATGTTTGGATTAAGTAAGTGAGGACAATCATCCATAAAATCTCCTCTTATCCTAAGGAGGACTACCTGAGGGCTTCTAGTGAAACTCCTATGCATCAGTACCAAGGCCTTGCTATCCTTCCTAAAGCATTCATTTCTGGGCACCGCCATACTTTAATTCTTCTAATTTAATTTTTTAATTCAACTAATGCTGAAATGTTTCTTGATGTTTTATCACTCAACATACTTGTTTTTCCACTCTGCATCACTACTTCTAAAACCAAAATGCTTTTGTGAAATAAATACAAGCAGTTTTCTAAAACTTGTCCTACCACCTTCAGGTTTGTGTACATGCACCTAGGACTCATTTCTTGCACAGTTTACAATTGTACCATTTCATTCACATGACCTTCCATTCACACTGGCTAACAAAACTTTCACTTCACATTTCAATGAGCAGTACCTTTCATCTGCCGTCTGTCTCTGTTTTGACAAAATGTCTCTGTTCTCACAACTTATTATTACATTTTTGTCATTCTAGATCATCTACAAACTTGAAAGTTTTGTCTTTTATACTCAAGCCCAGGTCATAAATATCTCAAAAAGAGCAAACATTTGTAATATTGGCCCTTGGGCAGCATCATTTGCACCTCAATCCAGCTTAAAGAACAACTTCTCGCCACTATTTACTGCAGAGTCCCATGTTGAACTATATCATATAACCTGCAGATTACAAGCAGCTTTGTTTATCTTCTGTATTACAGAATAAAAATTACTCCTATTTATAGGACATTAGCATTACATTTCTAACAAAGATTCCAAGAATTGAACAGCATGAAATTTGGCCAGACATCATTGAGTTACCTCAATCCCTGCAGGTCACTCATGATTATTTGCCCATTCTTATCTTTATATCCTGTCACTTCAAATATTTATTCATTTCCTTTTAACCAAGGGTCACTCTGCATAATATTTCCTGTGTTTTTAAAGGTAGGAAAGCCAAGTTTCTTTTCTTCACCAAGGGACAACCGTATTTCATTAAAAATAAAGTCCCTTAAATGTTTTACCAATACTCGCTGTTTCCATAATTAACAAAAACAAGTTTGCTTGATAAATAGAATAAGTTCAGTGAAACATCCAATTTTTTACACTTCAATTTTTTCTCTTCACACATGGGAAGTGGGTATCATAGGTCAACACTAACTGCCCTCACAAAAGGTGATAGTGAGGTGTCTTCTTGAACCACTGCAGTCCTTGGAGCATAGGTACATTAATAAAGCTGGTAGGGAGGCGGTACTGGGTTTTGATCCAGCAGTTTCATGGAACAACAATATATTTCCAAGTTAGAGTGATGAGTGGCTTGGAGGGAAATTTGCAGGCAATGGTGTTCCCATGTATTTGCTGCCCTTATCCCTCTGGATGGTAGAACCCACTTTGGAAGATGCTGAAGGTGCCTTGTTGAGTTGCTGCTGTGCATTTTATAGATGGTGTACACTGTTGCTACAACGTGTCAGTATTGGAGGGAATGAATGCTGGTTGGTAGATGTGATACCAATCAAGCAGGCTGCTTTGTCCTGGATAGTGTCAAGTTTCTTGAGTGTTGTGGAAGCTACACCCATCCAGGCAAGTGGGGAGCATTCCATCACAATCCTTGTGCCCTTGATATTGTGGACAGGCTTTGGAGAGTCAGGAGGGGAGTTCTTTGCACAGAATTCCAAGCCTCTGACCTGTTCTTGTAACCATAATTATACACCTAACATTAGAACATTAAGTATCTTAACACCTCTAAAGACACAGCCTGCTTGTTCATTACCACCATTCTAAGGACCACTTCAACAATAGCCACTTGCTTCCTTGATTTGTTCATGCTACCCTAGAATTGGTTGGTTGCCCCATGTTTATCTCCCCAAGGAAGACCATAATCTTCCGTGACTGCTTCCGCTATGTGAGTACACAACACGAGTAGAATTTATAGCAAATAAAAACACATGGAGATTAGTGACCATGGAGCGGCTAATGATCAAACAGCTCATGTCACAGCATCACTGAAAAACACTTATTATACACGAACAGAGCTTATAATTTGAATGCCAGGCAGATTCAGGAGTGTTTATACAAGTCTTGGACCGACTTCAATGTCAGAAATTTTAATCTGCTCACGCACTTTCTTAGTGAAATAAGAATGAGGAATCAAAATGTATTAGATTGTTGTTGCTGGCAAGAGGCACAGCCAAACACCAACCTCAAAAGACTTCGTCAGAGAGGAGAGAACATGCAAGAACAACTATTGAGTTCACATTAAGCAGATAGCAAGTAGCATTCTTTCCCCATAATCCAGTCATGTTTCTTCTCAAAACTTTTCAGTGGAAGTTAGCATTCTAATACGTACCCCTCTCCTGCCCTTTTGTCAATGATGACACTTTTCCAATCCCGTTAAAAAGCATCACTCCTAGAGTCCCCTTAATTTCTGCTTCCTTAATTTCAGTCGCTACTGTTAGTTTCTCCATTCCGATTTCACTGCTTCCACTTTCCTGGAATCCCATTACCCCTCCCTTTTCTCCACAGCAGCACTCCCATCAGAGCCCTGCTGTCAAAGAGATCCCCAACAGCCCTCATAAGCAGGAACTTCAGTCCCCACAGTCTCAGCTACAAGAGCCCGCAATCTTCTGTTGACAGAATAGACGAGTTGAGAGGGATGAGGCAGTGGATCATCTGACGACCGGTGAGATTGAAGGTAAAAAAGGGTCCGGTTGTTAATACAAATTTTTTTTTTTTTAAACAAGCGTGTTAAACTGGATCCAAAGACACTTCTAAAAATAAAAAGTGGCAACAATTGGCATGCAGGAGTTGAGGGTCAACTTTTAGGCAAAAATAGTGACAATGGCCATCTAGTTCCTTGATATAAAATGACACTACTGAAAGTCATTCACTTTAACATGGCTTATAGCAATATAAAATAATTATGTTTTGTTTTATTATTAAAGATTAACTCTGCAGACAGACAGGCCACTGCATACACATTACAAAGTCAAGACATTTGATTTGTCAGTGTTTTCAGAAGCTCAACTGAACAACCGTCTAACAATACAACGCCAAAATCAACTGGAAAAATGCAACCAAGCATTCAGCCACCATTCCTAATAATTTGTTTTTTTTTAAGCCTCTGAAGTCCTTTGGCTCATTTTTCTATGTCAAAGACACCAAGTCTAAAATGGTATTATTTGTTCATTTTGGAAGTCAAGCCCAACTCAAATGATAATTCGCTTTTTGGGAGCTTCTTACCATGTGCAGTCTTCTTCATCCCTGCTGTAAACATAGCTCAGTTGGCTGGATTGCAATGCAGAGTGCTGCCTGCAGCATGGGTTCAACTCCCACAATGGCGGAGGTCACTATGAAGGTCCTGCATTCTTCTTGCCCGAAGTATGGTGACCCTCCGATTAAACTCACCAGTCGTCTCTCTCTCATTTGGAAGTGTCAAGATATTTAATGTTCTAATGAATAATTGTGGTTACACCTGACAAGAACAGGTCAGATGCTTGGAATTCTGATCAAAGCCCAATGGTCCAGTTTACATTTAAACACCCATATAAGAAATGCATTACAAATATTATTATAATGTTTGGCAAATTATGGATGGACAGCACATCTGGTAAGTTGCACCATCTGTATTTATGTAAATCTGAACACTCAAATGTAATCTACTCACATTATCTATCGTGGCAATGAACAGCAGGGCAGCTGTGGCTATGTGAAAGACAAGAATGAATCCCAGAAGCACAAGCATCACGATAAAAGGTCTGTTTGTACGTGTGTCAGACGGAACTTCTTCGAACTACAAGCGTTTGCTGCAAAAACAAAAAACAAGTACAAATTAGTTTTGCATACACACACACACACACAAACAAAGTCTATTGCGGATAAAAGACTGACTGGTACACAGATGAAATGACAAGCTTGCATAATTCATTAAAAAAAATTCATGTGGAAAGAACAGACAAAATTTGGGAGCCAGGCGCATCTGGCAAAACCATCTACTTCAGTTTTTAAACGGGGAAATAAAAATGTATGTTTAGCAGATTTTTTAAAATATACAAGCAAGTCTCAAAAGAAAAAAATAAATTTTACAAAAAAGTGAACAGCACTTTTTTTTTAAAATTAAAAAGAAACACTATAGCAAGAGATGGCCACGCTGGACCAAATAATACCATGATTATTGACTTTGTTCTCAGCTTGTTTTAAGAATAAAACTGATGAATTAGTCAATTTCACTGAATAGATTTTTTTAAGGAATGATTCAGTCAAGGACAGCTCAAACATTCCTGCTTCTCTCCAATGTTAGCATTTTTCCAGATCCTCATTGATTGATTGAGGTCACATGTACCGAGATAGTGAAAAGTTTGGTTTTGCGTGCAGTACAGGTAGATCATACCACACAAACTGCATTAGGGTAATAGAACTGAGCAAGGAATACAATGTTAGCTGCAGAGAAGGTGCACAAAGAGTGAGATTAATGTTAATTTTAAAATTAGGGAGGTCCATTTAGAAGTCTAATACCAGTGGGGAAGAAGCCATTCTTGAATCTGTTGGTACATGTGCACAAGCTTTTGAGATGCCAACGCTGGAGATGAACACCAACAACATGTTCAATTCCTGCACCAGCTGAGTTTACCATGGAGGACTCTCCTTCTCAACCTCTCCCCTTGCCCGAGGCATGGTGACCTCAGGTTGAACAACCACCAGTCGTCTCTCCCTAGTGAGCCAGCAGCCCTATGGTCTGGCAAAACTATAATAACTTAACTATAGTGACTGATTATACACTGCAGTACAAACTACTTTCACAATGTAGAGAACCAGCAGAGAATTGCTAATGCGTTTGAACAAGCCCTACCCAACAGTTGTAATGGGCTGTGGTGGCATTTTTACTGGACTTGTAATCCAAAGACTCGGGTAATGTTCTGGGACCTGGGTTCAAATGGTGGGGAAAATATCTGGAATTAAAAGTCCAATAATGATTGCAAAACCATGGATATAAAAATCTCTGCTCCTATGATGCTGCTTGACCTGCTGTGTTCATCTAGCCCTGTACCTTGTTGTCTCGGATTCACCAGCATCTGCAGTTCCTACTATCTCCGATATAAAAATCCAGTTGGTTCACTAATGTCCTTGATTTACACCATCATCAGGTGAGCTCAATTGATGGGACAGGACATACTTAGCAGAGATGGCAGCACAGTAGTATTCAGTCATGAGGAAATCTGGGAATCCACAATATTGAATGAATACCACCTTGGCAAGGGTTCAAAACGTGGTCTTAGTGGAGGACTCCAATGTCCATCACCACGAGTAGCTGGGCAGCATTTAGTTGCTCAAGTCCTAAAGAACACAGTGGCTAAACTGGGTCTGCAGCAGGTGAGGGGGGGGGGGGGGGGGGGGGGGGG